AAGTACTTAGAGACAGGGGATCCCTGGGTGGCTCAGTGGTTTAGTGCCTGTCTTTGGCCCAGGGTGCAATCCTGGAGTCCTGGGATGGAGCCTGCTTATCCCTCTGCCTGTGTCTCTGCCTGTGTCTCTGCTCTCTCTCTCTCTCTCTCTCTCTCTCTCTCTCATAAATAAATAAATCTTAAAAAAAATACTTAGAGACAAATAAGGGACCTCAGTCAGTTAAGCAATTGACTCTTGTCTTCCGCTCAGATCATGATCTCATAGTCCTGAGATCAAGCCTCATGTTGGGATCCCTGCTGAGCATGGAGTCTACTTGGGATTCTCTCTTGTAGTCTCTCTTTGCCCCTCTCCCCCGTTCACACACATGTGCACTCTCTCTCTCTAAAAGAAGAAAAAGATAGAATGAAAGAAAGAACAGACTTAGAGACAAATTAAAGTGAAAACACAACTTGCCAAAACATATGGGATGCTGTGAAAGCAGTGAAAAAGGAAAATGTCTAGTTATAAACACATTTAAAAAGAAAAATCTCAAACCAACAACCTAACTTTATAACTTAAAGAACTATAAAAAGAAGAAAGAACTCAAAAGCTAGCAGAATAAAGGAAATAATAAGGACTAGAGCAGAGATAAATGAAATTGAGACTAGAAAAACAATAGAGAAAATCAATGAAACCAAAAGTTGGGTCTTTGAAAAGATCAGCAAAATTTAGCTAGATAGACTAAGACAAAAAGAGAAGATAAAATTTCTAAAACCAGAAATGAAAGTAAGGCTATTTCTGATTCTATAGAAATAAAAAGGAGTCTAAAACTATACCATTTACACTAACAAATTCGGTAGCCTAAATGAAATGGACAAACTCCTAGCAACACAAAATATACCAAGACTAAATCACGAACAGAAAATCTAAATAGACCTATAATTATAATTATAATTATTAATTATACTAGTATTAATTATATTAGTATTAATACTAATTATACTAATTATAATTAGTAAGGAAATTGAGTCAGTAATCAAAAAAATCTCCTAACAAAGAAAAGCCTTGGATCTCATGGTTCCCCTGGTGAATTCCACCAAATATTTACCAATCCTCAAACTTTTCCAAAAAATTGAAGAAGAGGTAACACTTCTTAACTCATTCTATGAGGCCAGCATTACCCTGATACCAAAGCCAGACATTATAATGGAAAATTACAGACCAAAATCCACTATGATTATTGATAAAATCTTCAAGATACTAGCAAACTGAATTCAGCAACATATTGCCAAGTGGGACCTATTCCTGTAACACGACGATGGATCAATGTAAATACGCCACATCAACGGAGTGATGGCAAAAACATATGATCATCTCAACCCATGCAGAAAAAGCATTTAACAAAAGTCAACACCCCTCTCTGGCAAAAAATACGCAACAAACTAGGAAATAGAAGGAAACTACCTCAAAGGAATAAAAGCCATATATGAAAATTCGACAAAGAATATCATACTCACCAGTGAAAAACTGAAAGCTTTCCAAGACAAGGAATGAGGCAAACAGACCCACTTTCGTAACTTCTATCCAACATAGTACTAGAAGTTCTAGCCAGAGCAATTAGGAAACAATGAGAAATAAAAGACACCCAAATTGAAAAGGAAGATGTGAAATTATCTCCTTTTGCAGATGATATGATCTTATATGCAGAAAACCTTAAAGATTCCACATACACAGACCAAAACAAGACAAAACCTATTAGAACTAATAAGTGAATTCAGAAAAGTAGTAGCCCCACCCCAATTGTCACAGGATCTTTGGTGACCTTGAGATAACACCACGTAAGAATCCCAGAAGTCGTAAGCAAACGAACCTCAGAAGGTTGCTTCCATTTAACACAACAAGTATTCACCCCATTATCTACCATGTGCAAACACCAGGTTAAAAAAGTGCAAAGTAGGGCAAATTAAAGCAGGGATATAATTAAGGATGAAGTCCGCCAGTGGCCTTAAGCAGTTCTTGGGTGTTTGTAACTCTGGCTCTAACTGTACGACGCGGAATCCTTTTAAGTCTAGAGCAATCATAACTCACACACACACATTCAAGGGACACAGGCAATAATTTATATTCAGTTGGCTTCCCTTTCCATAAAGAATCGTGAAATGTTGGGGTGCCTGGGTGGCCTAGTCGGTTGAGCGGCTGACTCTTGGATCCGGCTCAGGTCATGATCTGGGGGTCCAGCCCCCAGTGGGGCTCAGCAGGGAGTCTGTGTAAGATTCTTTCTCTCCCCTTACCACTCCCTCAAAATCTTTCTCTCTCAACTAAAATAAATAGGGGCACCTGGGTGGTGCAGTCAGTTACGCAGATGACTCTTGGTTTTTGCTCGGGTCGTGATCTCAGGGTCATGGGAGCGAATCCTATGTCAGGCTCTGTGCTCAGCATAGGGTCTACTTAAGTTTCTCCCTCTCCCACTGCCTCTCCCTCTCCTCAAATGAATAAATAGATATTTTTAAAAGCAAAATAAAAAATATTTTAAAAAAGGAATTGTGGAGTGTTTCAGAAATATATTTGGAAGACTACAGCTAATGAAGTAAAATCTCTTAAGAACGTAGCTGTCTCTACCATACAGTCCAATGAAACAGTATAACTTGAAAGTCTGTATGGTCAGAGAATGACTAAGAATTATGTAAAATAACCCAGGAATTTAGAAGTTAAGTACACAGCCCACTTGATGCACTCTTTATAGAGGTGCCTCCCCCACTGTCAAAAAAAGAAAAAACAGGCTAAGCTGTTTTTTAATCATAGAGGTATTGTGAATAAAAAGTAGTTAAAAACTGAAATAAAGAGCAAAAATTTCCCATTATCCTTATCAGCTCAATTTTGACAGATATTTAATATACTTTTAGAAACATTATATACTTAAAATGTAAATCAAATATTATACATACTGCAACTCCCACTTCCTCCCATTTACCATACATAAGACATCTGTAACCCAACCTAGTCCTTTTTGGATTTTGGGTGAAGGTTTTGTTTTAAATTACAAAATGTAGGCTTTTGAAAAGCCAAAAACCATAATGCAGCTATGTATAAGGAAAAAACTTCTAATCCTTTCTACCCTATAATGATCAAATTTTGTGTCAACTTGGCTCGGCTATGGTGTTGTTGAATGGCAAATGCTAGCTGTCACTGTGAAGATAGTTTGTAGATGTGAACACCTTACATAATCCGTTAACTTTAAGATTACACTCCATGATATGGTGGGTCCCACCTAATCAGTTAAAGGCTTCGCGGGGCGGGGGTTTCCTAAAGAAGAAATTCTACTTCAAAACTGTAACAGAGGGATCCCTGGGGGGCGCAGCGGTTTGGCGCCTGCCTTTGGCCCAGGGCGCAATCCTGGAGACCCGGGATCGAATCCCACGTCGGGCTCCCGGTGCATGGAGACTGCTTCTGCCTCTGCCTATGTCTCTGCCTCTCCCTCTGTGTGTGTGACTATCATAAATAAATAAAAATTAAAAATAAATAAATAAATATCCTGAATTTAAAGCCAAATGTGTCTTTAACACGTGCCATGATGCACATGACAGTCTACTGTCCACAGGTATTTGAGAAACGCCAGGAGCCAGTGGTTCTCACTAACCCCCATATAAGGTCAATCACGTACGTCATTTCATCTCTCAGGTGAGAGAACAGAGAAAGCTCCCCTTTCTCCCAGCTCAATTTTTTTCAATAAACCACCATGTTTAATTCAAAATGTTTATATATATATAAACACACACACACACATATATATAAATGTATATATAAAACAATGTTGTATATGTGTGTGTATATGTATTTATGCTAATCTGTTATTTGTTTTTTGCTATTTATTTTTTAAGTAAGCTTTGTGCCCAATGTGAGACCTGAACTCATGACCCCGAGATAAAGAGTCACATGCTCCACCAACTGAGCCAGCCAGGCACCCCGAAAATTTATTTTTTGGTAGACAGCAAAGCAAGATTTATTACACAATAGCAAAGTGAGAGTACAAAGCTCCAGAGGAGGGTGTAACAGCCGCCTCAAAAATATTTTTAAGTGAAAGAATTAATGAATCTGTGTCTCATCCCCTGGTTCTTCCATGCCAACCAGAGGTGCCCCTGCCTGGTCCACAGTTAACAAAACATCATAGCTCCCATCCCTAGCCAACAGCACACGCTGTAAGGACTGAGGGAACCCGAAAGTGCGAGGCATTGGTGTCATCACCCTGGCGCTCTGCATCTCCAAGCTACCTTGCCAAGCCGGTCCATGAATCAAAGTCACTGGCCTCTAAGAGGTCACACAGGTGTCCAGGCAATGAAGACGATGCTGGGGCGCCTGGCTGGCTCAGGCCGTAGAGCATGTGACTCTTGACCTCAGAGGCTGTAAGTATGAGTCCCATGCAGGGTGTAGATATTACTTAAAAATAAAATTAGAGGGTGCCCGGGTGGCGCGATCGGTTAAGCTTCTGCCTTCAGCTCAGGTCACGATCCCAGGGTCCTGGGATCGAGCCCCACATCTGGCTCCCCACTTGGCAAGTGGGAGTCTGCTTCTCCCTCTACCCCTCCCCGCTGCTCATGCTCTCTTGCTCTTTCTCAAAATCTTTAATAAATAATTTTTTTAAACTACACTGAATTTAAAAAGGGGCACCTCAATGGCCCAGTTGGTTAAGCACCCAACTCTCAGTTTCGGTTCAGGTCATGATCTCAGATCCAGCCCCACATCGGGCTCTGTGCTGGGCGTGGAGCCTGCTTAAGATTCTCTCTCTCTCTCCTTATGCCCCTCCCCCTCCTCTCTAAATGAATGAATAAATTTAAATATATATATATATATATATATATATATATATATATATATATATATAGGATCCCAACAACTTCTCCCTGAGGAGAAATGTCTGTAGCCACTTTTACAAGCACCATGCGTGCGCCAGCCTCCTGGACTCTTTGGAGCTTATCTTTGCTTAAAGGTTTCTGTTTACCCAAAATAACCACAGATCATTTGGATTATTATGTATTAGTCCAGTTTATTAAATAATGAAACAAGGTTTATGCCACATATTCCAACAACGCTTAAATAAAGAGCTTGAAATATAAAGGCTCATGAAAAATGCATAGTCTTCATATAATATATACTATTTCTAGCTCATGAATAAATATGGAGGATAGGAGCCATTTTATTTCACAGATTAGCAATATTTGGCATCAATGATTGCAGAAATCCACAAGCAAACAAAAAACCCCATTATCTTCATTTTAGTTATAAAAGCTAAAAATCCTTTTGCCACATTTCAGCAATATCCAAGGGGGTCAGGGGACTTGTAATCACACCCCTGAAAATAAGGGGACCGAGGCTCCAAGTCCTTAAGTTCTTTCTTGGTTAGAAGCTTAACAATTCCATGAACTCCTTCAGGAAGCAGAAAAACCAGAACAGGTTACGATCCTGTTCTATATAACATGTTTCATATATCTACACTGGAGAAATACTCTCTTTTTGTCCTAAAAACAGGCTCAGGGTTTATAGTGAGGTTTGCGTTTCTTTTCATCCTGGTATGAACACGTACATAATTTGACTCAATTGTTAACAATGAACGTTGTGTGACGTCGACTCTTTAGGTGGTCTTCAAAATGAACTTGCTTCTACTGTTTCAGAAATTCTATGTACACTTAAAAAATACAGTGTTTTCTTCATTTTAAAAAAAAGTGGTTCTTAAAAAGTAATCCTTTAAACTCCAGGAACTCAAAAGTGAAAACCTTCCTGAGAACGCCCTGACCAGGTCAATGGAATGTTTTGGTGAGAAGAAAAATATCTGCCTAAAGATATGGTTCAGTACCAGGAGCGGGGCCCAGGGAGCTCAGCTCTGCACAGTCACATGGGGGGTCGGGGGTGGGGGGCGGGGGTGGGGTCTGGACTTGCATTTAAGTCTTAAACCAGTTAATACCTATCCGGCCACTCCGGCCACCCCTTCCCTTCCTTCCTTCCTCTTTTTAAGGATTTTGTCTGTTTTGGAAATACAACTCTGCCTCACAAAAGCTTTTTCAAAGTAAACATCCATAAAGAAGGCAAAGTGAAAGGGAAAGGCAGCAAAACCGCCTGATCCTCAAGAAAAACCTACCATGCCTTCTATTCTGGGTCAAAGGAAGTGGTGACCCAGGGCGGGAGAAACTGGGAACCTGCCCCCGCACACACCACGGGGGGGGGGGGGGGGTCCGCCTGGGAGCCCCGGGTCAGGGTGTATTTAACATTCTCGAACATACAACTGCAGGTCCCTTCCCTGGGGCTGTCTTCTAGAAGTTCCTAGGGATCTTGGAGTCACGTTTTATTTTTGAAAAGAACAAGATGAAGGCGAGAAAGCAGAATGATTTGTGTGTGTGTGTGTGTGTGTGTGTGTGTGTGTGGTCTTCAGAGAAAGAGAGGAAGATACGATAGGCCTCTTCGAGAAACTGGAAAACAGGTACAGTGCTAAAGGGAGAGTTTCTAAAATTTCAAGCAAGTGTTTTAGGAAGGACAGGAAGTGTTTTAGGACTTCAAGGAAGTCCGACATAGGACATATCTTCACAAACAGAACCTGAACGAAAGCAAAAAACTGAGAAACCTGGAAAGATCAACTCTTCGATTCACTCGCAACGTCCTGCCAAGGAAAACATAATGAAACTGTTCACTTATACTGTGTTCTTTGTCTCCACCAGGCCTTTGGCGAGGGGCTTTGCTCGGGATTCTTCTCCCACCATTCCGGCGGGCTGACAGCACAGCTGGGGTACAAGGCCCACCCTCCAGGCAGGTCTCAGCAGCCACCCTTGTCTTCCTTTGACCCCCAGCATCAATACGCATTATCCTCATTTTACAGACTGGGAAGTCATAGACTTGGCTAAAAATCGGAGCAAATTACTAACGTTACCTAAGACCGCCAACCCAAGCTGCCTCAAAGATCGTCCATCAACATGGACCTTGCCACGTTCAAAGCCAACACATCACACCGTCACGGGCTTAGATATGAACGCTTTGTAACAACTCCTCACGAAGGTCAGGCCATCAAAGGCTTAAAGTCACTTATTATAAGTGAAAGATCCTGCCGAAATAGGAAAGTATAAAGCAGTGCAAAATGCCAGGGATCTATTTGCTGCACTGTTTACACCCGGAGTTAAAAGGGCCAGGTCTCCACGTGTGACATTTCTCCCGCTGACGAGAAGCGACAGTCGTCAGAAGTTCAGGAACGAGAACACTGTCCTGGAGGCTCTATTCCGTGGTTCCGATGGGCTCCTCTAGAGCCGTCTGGCATCCCCAGGGGCGAGCTGAGCCACAGCAGGTGCTCCTGTCCCCTGAAGAAAACGACACCCGGTTCCCGATCTTCTTGCAAGCTTTAGTTAGCAAGAAACATGCGTTCCACGCGCTGTCTTTGACGTCAGAGGGCACTTCCACGGTACGGACTAGTGTTTGGATGTTAGTCTCTAGCATGAAACATCTGACGCAGAGCGGCCGCTGCCAACACCCGGCCATCTGGACTAGCCCCATCTTCATCTGTTGCTCACGCTTCAGCATCTGTGATGAGCCAAGCAGTGAGAAGCAGCGTGACACACGGGAAGCTTTATTGTTTCGGAAGTGAGCGTTTGCAGAGCGCCGTCTCATGCAGCCTTGACTTGTCACAAGTCCAATTTCTTCAACTGCTCGTAGGTCACGAAGAACTGCAGTGACTGGTTAAGGCTGACAAAGAAAATGCCATCTTACCTCCGACGCGTAAACACAGACTCACGGACAGCAGGTGTCACAGATACGTCTGGGCAGACCACGCGCCATGGACACATTGAACATGAGGGGTGCCATCCTCATCCACCCCAAACCATCTTCCCATCCGCCTTCCCAAGCTCTGCCTGGAACAGAACAATCACAGCGGAGACAAAGAAATCCCCTAGCATCGGCTCCAAGGGCCTCCCCGAAGAGGACGTCCACACTGCCTGGCCCTGGCGGCCGCTGTGATGGGCAGACTTTCCAGAATAGTCAACTCTGTGTGAAACAGAAAGCGAGCAAGTCCCGGGGAGCTCTCCTCACGGGTCACGGCTGGGCAGGCCTTCACCAGGACGGAGGCGCAGATAAAGAGAAACGGGGGATGGGGAAAAGCACATCCCCTTAGCATTCCGCCCCGGCACGTCTAATGAAGTGCCGCTCCCGTCCTGCCTCCCCTGTCGGCGTAGGGGCATTGGCGCTAACCAGCCAAACCACTCAGGAGCCAACTCCTGTTTATCCGCGGGGACCCTCTAAAATAAGCATTCTGGAACACTGCCGCCAAACCGGATCCTTCCCAAGGGTGGCTAGGGATGTGCAATCAAGCCGCGCCTTCCTGTAATCATAAATATTCCCAGCAACGTCTACTGCAGTCAAGTCCCGGTCAGGGACAGCATCACTAAACCAGATCCCGATAGCCCAGGACAGAGATCTTACACCCACTGAGATAGAAACTGAATCATAAAAAAAAAAAAAAAAGAAAGAAAGAAAGAAAGAAAGAAAGAAAGAAAGAAAGAAAGAAGAAAGAAAGAAAGAAAGAAAGAAACTGAATCATCATTTCCTAGAATCAGACGAACACAAAAGAATAAGAAGCCACTTCCAAATTATCATTCAAAACACGGGCTTATGCCAACAATCGTCTCGTAGCTACAGCTTTTGGCGGATGGAGAGCGACAGGAAAAGGATACGATGATGTTCCAAGGACCAAGTCTCAACCAATTTGGCCAAAACCCTTTATACAGAGCAAAAAACCCTTCATTCTTCCAGGTCTGTTATAAGAGGGAGAAAAAAAGAAGTTAGCTTCCAACTATCCAGTGATGTCAGTGCATTAATAATTAGGAGTCAGACCGAATGATTTTTTTTCTCAGAAATAAAATCCTGGGGCAGCCTGGGTGGCTCAGCAGTTTAGAGCTGCCTTCGGCCTGGGACCCGATCCTGGAGACCCGGGATCGAGTCCCACATCAGGCTCCCTGCATGGGGCCTGCTTCTCCCTCTGCCTGTGTCTCTGCCTCTCTCTCTCTCTGAATAAATAAATCTTAAAAAAACAAAAACATCTCGTGATGCTTTGCTGCTTTCCTTTAAAAAAAAAAAAGAGATTGAATCCCAACTGCAGGTGGGAAATAAACACGCTAGTCGATGGTGGTTAGGACCTAATTCAGACCACGGCCACCTCGGGTCACGAGGTGGATCCACACAAGCACCTGTGCGTCGTGAAAGCCAAATTTGAGGTCTAGGACTTGCCAGCATCGCACCAGACAGCAGGAGCACCCAAGCGGCCCCTGGTCCCCTGGCTGGTGGCAATCTAGTCAGGAACACAACAAACTCTCATCCCCTCCGGACCAGGAGGCCCCACTGCTTCAACTGAAAATTATAGGAAGATTGACGCATTCTCTGGAGAGATGTCGGAATGAGGGATATTCATTGCGGTCAGACGCAAGAGTGGGGAGGTGCATTTTGCAAGGAGACCGTTCTATTGCAATGGCAGAAATTCTGACCATTTTCTCTCCCTTTCCAGCTGAGCAGCGGTATAAAGAAAATGAACTTTCATTTCTAAACATTCATCCAGATTTTTGTCTTTGTAAGAGTTAGCCCAGCGTGGCCAGAACTGGGTACCATCTCGGGGCTTGAGAGCATCACTCGTGTTAGCTATAATAACCCTCAAAATTCAGTGACTTCTTAGGTCAAGTATCTGTATACAAATGTGTGTGTGTGTAAACACGTACGTATGTACTCACACACAACACACATGGGGGGGCAGTTTCAACTGAAACGAACCACTGGAATATTGGAGATTAAGTAAAATAAACTTGCTTATTTCTAAGTACCCCTTAATGTTAGTAGTTATACCAACAGGGCTCACTACACAGTAATCCAGGCACGGTGCCGTTTCGTAGGCGTTGTATCTCAATGATTTTTACCACAACCCTGTGACGTGGATGCGACTGTTGTCCCATTCCACTTATGAGGAAACTGGGGTAGGGAGTCTGTATCGACCGAAGTCACACAATTACAAGGGACAAATCCACAGGTTTGTCTTGCTCTGACCCCTGTGGTTTGTATCGTGACGAGAAGCTCTTCAGAGGGGAACAAGGAAGCCACTGGGCTGTGAAAGGACCTCACGACCCTGCCCAGGAGAGCGTTCACTCTCACCTGTAACAGGCAGTCCAGGGTACCTGTGTAGCCAGAGCACCTGCCATCCCGAAGGACTCTCTGGTTCATCATACGTGTTCTCACAACATCCACGGGATTTGAGGCCAGGGCCCCAGCCAGGCCACAGGTGAAGCTCGAGCTATGAAAAAAAGATACCGGGGCGGGGGGAGGGGGGGAGGGGGACAGAAAGTTCACCATCACTGAGCTGCAACCACCGCTATCAAAGGCAGGAAACAGCCTCCTCCTAAACCACACTAACGTGATGTGTAGCAAGAGGAAATGTTTCCAGGAGGAGGCCCGTCACTAAGGCACTGCGTGGACTTCTTAAACACAGCACTATTTATGGTGCCTTAGAAGTTCCCGCCTCGACGCAGAAAACCTTTGAGGGACAAGAATGTCAAAGGTTCATAGAAACACGAAAGAATGTCCTCCAACGATGATCTATTGCATCTCTTGGCTACAAGCAGGCGTCAGAGTAATTTTAGTCCCATCATAACCACACCATTCTTAGAGAGCAGAGAAAAAGACGTCCTCACGGTAATGCGCCCACAGGGTCTCAACAAGGCTACAGACCACACTTGGCATCAGGCAATTCAGGGCAGGGTTTCTCAACTCCCACACTCCTTGAACATCGTGGACAGGCAGGTCTCTGCTGTGGAGGGCTGTCCCGTGGCCGTAAGCTGTTCAGCAGCTCCCGGGCCTCTACCCAGCAGATGCCAACAGTACTCCCCCAGTTCTAACAGTCAGAACAGTCTCCAGAAATTGCCAAAAATTTGGAAGAAAGTGGATGAAACCATGATACATCCATCCTAACCTGCAGCTACTAAAAATACGTGACGTTGGTTTGAACTGACACAGAAAGATATTTGGAATATATTATTAAATTTTAAAAAGCAAGGGAGAACAGCAAATACTGCATGGTACCCCACGCGGGGATCTATATAAAAACAAAAAAACACAGAACCCATAGAAACCGAAAAGTGGTTGCCAGGGGCGAGGGCTAAGGGAAATAGGAAGAGGCTGGGAAAAAGGCATAAACTTTCAGCTATAAAATGAATAAGGTCTGAGGACCTAATATAGGACATGGTGACTACAGTTGGTAACACAGTCACATAACTGACATTTGCTAAAAAAGTTAAATGTTTTCATGCACGCACACGCACACACACGGAAAAATACGTGAAGTGATGGATATGTTAATGAACTCAGGGTCAGGTCTTTTCACGTAGTGTATGTGCATCAAATCATTATACCGTACATTCTTAAATAGCTCACAAGTTTGTCAATTATACCTCAATAAAGCTAAAAAATTAAAATAAAAAAGTAAGAGAATACTAAGCATGATCTTGCCTGTGCGCTAAGTACACAGAGTAGACTTTTATACATACTTCCATGTGCCTGAAAAACAAGCTGTTGACAACGGTCACCTGTGTAAGCAGATAAGGGCTTTTGCTTCTTCTCAGTTCACTTCTAAATTGTAATTTTTCAAATATAAGACTCTAATACTTTGATAATAAACCTTTAAATCTCTAATAAAGTCGTAGCAAACTGCTACCCTGACCTCATGCATACCTAAAATGTTATTTTTTAAATCTACAAACATACAGGAAGTGGGTATACACAGTGTCTCCCATCAGGCCCGAGAGAATCAGATGCTTCTTGGTGAGGTCGTAGACCGGTAGCTCCACACCGACAACGATGGCAGCCCTCTGCGCAGTAAGTGACACGCCCTGGGTAAAAATACGAATAACCAAGATTCAGAGAGCTCTCCATGAAACAGGCCTTGGGGAAAAAAAAAAAAAAAAAAAGCTATAGACTGACAGATCAGAAAAGACCAGAGGGTAAAGAAGTCAGACGCTCCCAAGTCTGCTCCTAATTCTGGCATTAACTATATGACCTTGGCCAGACCCTGGCCAGGCAGGACAAGCCGCCTCACAGAGGCTCTGGCTTCCTGGTACATACAGAGAGCACTACACTGGATGACCCTTAGGGCCTATTCTGTGAACTGATGGGCCACCAGAAAACCAGGAACAGCATCCCATACCAGCACCTGCCTAGTAAATCAGTCTTCACTTAGGGGAGTGGGAAACCGCACAGATCAAAAAAATCCAGCCTAACTATAACCTAGAAAACCCCTCTCCGTACGAATTTTTTAAAGTAAACAAAAATGTTCAATCTTCGTAGAATTTCTTATACATGAATTATTCAAAAGGCACTTTAAAACTATGACATATGCCTTGTATTTCCACTCTGCAGGGAATGAGATTAAGGAAGAAAGTAACTTTGAGGGCAGAGGCCACTCCTCTTCGTGTAGGTCAATCTGCCACTCAGATTAAAATGATGGAAATAGGAGAAATAAATTCAAAGAAGGAAAACGGCTCCGTTCCGTGGGCTCACCTTCCACAATCCTCTTGCTCCCTCTTGCTGGTAAATGTTAATGAAGTTGCCAATCATTCCGCCTTGAATGGTGCTGCTTTGTGCTTGCATCCGTATCTAGAGATTATTTTGAAGACAGACGTGAGAAGGAAAGCACATTTCTCCCCGAATGCAGACTTCGGAAAATCATTCAATCTGTTGTTTACTGACCATTACAAGAATTGCAGTATAAATACAACTGTAATGCTGAAATATATCCTTTGTAGGATTTATAATCATAAAGATTTAACATTCATGAGGACTGGAACTGAGGCACTTTGGAATCAACAAAATGCATCGAGGCCCGAGCTCATTAAGAGTCCAAAAAAGATGGATTTTTAAAACTGGTCTTCTGAAAAGGAAAGAGAATGGCATATTTCCTTATAAGTCACTGACCAGTTAAGAGAATGTGACGGTAGGCTGACTTCACATAACTGATAAGAGTGTCCAGCGTAGTTGGCAGTGCTGAGCATGGACGAGCATATTTCTTAAATTAGTTACTTCAAGCCACTACTATTTCCAACCAGCTGAACCAAAAGGTATGCAGGCGAGCTGAGCACAAGACGATCACATGATGCCCGTCATGCTCCATTACACTTGAACTTACAAATAAACTGGACAGCGGCCGTGGAGTTCATGGGACCGAGATTCCGACGTAGAGATAATGTTTGATGTAGCTCTCTACATTTTTTAAAATTAAAAGGGACTTCTCCCTAAAACTTGGTACCTTATTTTTTGTTTGGGGAGAAAATACATTACCTCTAGCTTCCCAAGGAAAATGTTACTGCCAAGCTAACGTGGGAAAATAAACCAAAATACAGGAACTGCCTTTCTATCAGCCCGGACATATGTTTAAGAGATTAAGAGGAGGGGATCCCTGGGTGGCTCAGCGGTTTAGCACCTGCCTTTGGCCCAGGGAGCGATCCTGGAGTCCCAGGATCGAGTCCCGCATCGGTTCCCGGCATGGAGCCTGCTTCTCCCTCCTCCTGTGTCTCTGCCTCCCTCTCTCTCTCTCTCTCTCTCTCTCCATCATAAATAAATAAAGAAAGAAACCTTAAAAAAAAAAGAGAGAGAGAGAGAGAAAGATTAAGAGTGGGGATATTTCTATTTCCCCCCCTCCCAAAAAATCCTGGCAAAAGGACCTTCACTGTGCAGAAGTGTAGTGTACTCAAAACACTGCTGCATAAAACTCTGATGTTTGTTGGGGCGCTGGGGTGGCTCAGTGGGTTAAGCGTCTACCTTAGGCTCAGGTAGCTGAGGTACCTTCTCCCTCTCCCTCTGCCTGCTGCTCCAGCTGCTTGAGCTCTCCCCTTGCCCCTCGCTCTCAAATACATAAATAAAATCTTAAAAAAAAAAAAAGAACTCTGATGTTTGCCAGACTCTCCTGTCAGAGTGAAGGCTCTGAGGGCAGGGTCCTTATCTTACTCGTTTGGGGATTCTAAGCACGCAGCACATCAACTGGCAGAGGGCAGCACAGCAAACGCTGGTCAACTAATAGGAACAAAAAAGGAGAGGGAGCGACAGAGGTGAACATCCTGAGAAGCACTGAAAAAAGTAAGTCCTGCCTGATTTCTCTTTTGTTTAATTAATTTACTTCTGGGATCCCTGGGTGGCTCAGTGGTTTAGCATCTGCCTTTGGTCCAGGGCCTGATCCTGGAGACCCGGGATCAAGTCCCACGTCGGGCTCCCTGCATGGAGCCTGCTTCTCCCTCTGCCTGTGTCTCTGCCTCTCTCTGTGTCTCTCATGAATAAATAAATAAAATCTTTAAGAAAAAAAAATTAATTTACTTCTTTGTCTTATTCCAGAAAGGATCTAAAAAAGTTCTATCGCCGGTATTGTCAACAAGGTCCGCCAATACATCATGTCAAACTGTGATCAGGAAACATTTCCATTCATATTCCCTGAAATCAAGTTAACGGAGGACATCACACGTTCAGAAACGGTCATTAGGTTTCTGAACAAATAAAACAAGGAAGATTTTCAAGGAAAAATGAAATTCAAATGTGTCCATGCCCGATTTTTTTCTTTTGCTGCTTAATCACCAAAAACCTTGTCTCTACAACGAGCTCTGCTTTGTGAGCTCCTCTGTATCCACGGGAAATCCACCCAGCGGATGTTTAGAAGCTAGAGGCTTCATGGTGCTTAAATTATAAACAAATTCACACATCCAGGGTGGGTTATATCCACAGCATTTCATTATCTGAATGTTGTTCTCAATAAGAAAATGTGGAGTGTGCCTATAAGATACGGATGGCACTGCTTACTTTCAAAACATCAGTCGGATTAGCGATGGTAGAGGATACGACTCCAGAGAGAATTCCACACACCACATTTATCAGCAGAGTCTCATCTACAAACAAACACATATTATTTGACTTTTCGTATACACAGAGCTCTTCACATCAGTAGGTGTAACTCATTGACATACCGCTTGTACATCTTCAGAGAATCGTAAAATTCCTGCTTTATGAATCAAGCAATTCTTTTAAAGATTTTATTTACTTATTTGACAGAGAGACCACAAGCAGGGGAAATAGCAGGCAGAGGGTGAAGGAGAAGCAGGAGCCCGAAGCAGGGCTTGATCCCGGGACCCAGGAATCATGCATGACCTGAGTGGAAGGCAAGAGGCTTAACCAACTGAGCTACCCAGCTGCCCCTCAAGCAATTTTTTTAAAACATTTTTTATTTGGGCAGCCCGGGTGGCTCAGCGGTTTAGCGCCGCCTTCAGCTCAGGGCATGATCCAGGAGACCTGGGATCGAATCCCACGTCGGGCTCCCGGTGCATGGAGCCTGCTTCTCCCTCTGCCTGTGTCTCTGCCTCTCTCTCTCTCTGTGTTCTCATGAGTAAATAAATAATATCTTTAAAAGAAAAAATAAATAAATAAATAACTTTAAAAAATAAATAAAGATTTTTTTATTCCTTTTAATAATCTCTATATCCAATATGGGTCTTAAACTTACGGCCCTGAGACCAAGAGTCACCATGTTCCACTGACTGAGCCAGCCAGGTGCCCCTGAAGCAAGCAATTTTTAAAATATTAGGAATTTTGCTGGCTGACCAGGATTTTGCCTAGCAAAATAACTTGATATCCAAAAAGGACTGTGAATTATCATGCAAAATGAACAACCATATACTAACTCACTTTTGTGTGTAAATATTGACCACCGCAGTAATTAAGATGAGGAATAGGTCATAGAAGAATAAGAAAGATATACTCCTGGGACGCCCAGGTGGCTCACTCATTTAAGCCTCCGACTCTTGATTTTGGCTCAGATCATGATCTCAGGGTCCTGGGATCTAGCCCCAACTCAGGGCCCATGCTTAGCAGAGAGTCCGCTTGAGATATTCTCTCTTTCTCTCTCTCTCTCTCTCTCCCCCTCTCTCTCTCCCTCTCTCCCTCCTCCCACTCATACATGTGTGCATTCTCTCTCAAGTAAATAAATAGGTCTTAAAAAAAAAAGGTACATTCCTAGGAGACGCTGAGAAGATAGTTTTAAAGCATGCTGTATAGATTTAATGTGAAGTATACTGAAGTGCTAAAACATCTTAGCTCGTGTTGACCACTCTCACCTAACAGTTGACTGGTGCCTGGTGCTTGTCTCATTGTAATAAGAAAGAAAAAAAGGAAAAAAAAAAGTTCTATGGGTTAAAGCAAAGTCATAAAGTCAACCAGCAATACATTATTAGAATTCAGTTCTTAAAAAAAAAAAAAAAGAATTCAGTTCTTAATACTAAGAAGGGTATTTACGGCTTTCCTGAAAAATAGATGATAATGCCTGTTAGAAAATTTTCAGTTGGCTAGAACTACAACACCACACCCTCTAGTCTAGGTGTTTCGGAGAGGAGGAAAACTAAAACATTTGTAGAGATTGCTCCTTTTAACTGCCACTCCCCTAAGTTCAGCAAAGAAAATCTGATCTTGTCTTGACTAAAAAAAAAAAGACACACAACCCGCCCAGCTCCTGTCCACAAGTGGAAGAAAGATTCCCCACTCACCTTCAGGGTGTTCGACAAACAGTCGCTTCAGGCTCTGGTAGGTGCCTATCTTGATGGTGCCGTAGGAAGCCTGGCGTAACATCGCAGGGGCAATCCTGTCAAGCCGACGTACGAGAGGACAGAGATGCTAAAAATCGCTTTAAATCCTCGAAGGGCACACGGACGCAACCACGTGTTTGCCTTCCACAATCAAACTATGCTACACCAGACTCCTCACGATTCAAGATCCAACAAAAATATAGTCGGGTTCAGTTAAATTTGTGCAAATCGTCAGTGCGCTAGGTGAAAGCTCAGCCCCCTGTAGTTACCCTTAATGAAAACCTGTAAGTGAACGTGCGGTTCTGGGTGCTCAGGTTCTGGGTGCTCATGGGCGTTCAAGGGAAAGGGCCCTCCTTTCTTGAGGCGAAGCCCCTGGTGACCTCTGCCCTCTGCAAGCATCTGCCATCCTTCCGCTGCGGCTCTGGAGCGCGTCCCCCATCCACTTGGGGGGTCCTGTTCCAGGTCCTTCCTCTCCGTCTCTCAGCCTTCCGGCGCCCAGAACCACCCTGGGGCAGTTATCCGCCCCAACTGTCTCGTGCTCCCACCTCCTCCGGTGCTCCCACCTCCTGGGGTGCTCCCCACCTCCTCGGGTGCTCCCCACCTCCTCCTCGAAATGCACTGTGCCTTCCTTCCCCCCTCCATCAAAGCTGCCTCCCCAAGGAGACCAGCTGACATCTGTGTTGCTGAACGAAGCGATGCCCTCCCTTAGCACCCTACACAGCCTCTCTGTGGTCCTCGCTAGTCTGTCCTCGGTCCTCCACACAGCCAGCCCCTCCGCCCCGAGCTCCGAAACACGCCCCTCTCCCCCAGGTTTCCTTTCCTCTACAGCCTCCCACCCCTGCCCTCTGGGGCTCCCCAGAATTCTGTCCTGTGCTCTCTTCCTTCCCCACTCTCCATGCTCCCTGGTGAGCTCATCGACTCCGACGGCGTCCACCACTGTCCGAGACTCGGGACGCCGGATTCCTGCTCCCAGCACTGACCCAACGATGCATTGCCAACTGCTCCATAAATCTCGCATCGCGCATGTGCTACACCCACCTCCGACCCAAGCTCCCACACTGAACTCATCATACTCCCGCTCCAACCAATCGGCTCTCCTCTCTGTTTCCCGGACCAGGGAATGGAAGCTCCATCTACACTCACTCTGGCCCAAACCAGAAATCAAGACATTAACCTTGTCCCCCGCTTCCTCCACACCCTAGGGCTGGTGGACATGTGCTGTCCCCACTAAACAACAGCCCCTTCATGTGTTGCTGCTAATCCCCCTCCAACCTCCTAGATCCAGGCTCACCCTTCTCTGTGATGCTCTGCGCCCTGAGAGGGTGGCACCCACATTTTGAATCATGCAGGCTTCCTGCCAGCTGGCTTCCAGGTGAACTCCACCAGTAGACAATGGGATGGATGGATGGATGGATGGATGGATGGATGGATGGATGGGGAGGGGGAGGTATATTCCTCTCCTGGGCACTACCAAAGCATCCCTCCTCCCCACCACCACAGCTACTGTTTGCTCCTTCAAGGCTCCGGTCCTAATAGGCTCTGCTAACACCATTCCTGTCCTTGCCCTTTTGGTCCTAGGGTTGGTAACAACCCCCCACTTTGATAGTTTCTGGGAACCTCAATATCTTACCTCTAGTCTTTTAGTAGCCCCTTCATTAAAGTCTCCTGACTGAAGCCACCCAAGCGAATTCTGTTTTCTGCAGGGACTCAGGCTGACGCAGGCACCTGGCTTACTCACTTTCCTATCTCATGCCTTCAGCACACCGTTCGCTAAATACTAGATTAAAGAAAAGCTGTTCACAACTCCTACCCACATCCGATACGCTATCATTTTCCTTATAGCAAAAACCTCGTAATTCAGAATGGCCAACGGGAAGGGCTTTTTTCAGAGTGAAACGCTGAATCACTGAATGTTTTCTGAAACAAACGTAATTTTTACATTATCATCTGTATTTGAATGTAATAAAGACATACTTTCACCACAAAGTTCACTACATAAAAGATACACAGAAACTAAAGGTGAAATGAGAAAGCTGCCCAACTACTTGCTCTTTTCAAATATACCGCGGATTTCTACTTTTTCTCTATGAATCCTAGTTTTCCATCTATTCGTTTGAAAGGTCAAGTACAAATGCACAAAGGTCGACTTACCCTGAATACAGAGCTTTCAGCCCTTCTTCTCTGCCTATCCGCACCAACGCATGCAACATTCCTCGATACCGGATTTCTTTAAAGTTTGCATCATTTGTCTGGCCTTGAATCTGGAGCCGTGTCTTGGTTAAATCAATTGGAAAAGTACCTTAAATTTTTTTTAAAAAAAAAGAAATATTTCACTTGATTAAAAAAGAAATTCCACTAAATAAAGGCTACATGGTGACAGATTACTGAGGAAACACTGCAACTAAAAAAAGAAAAAACAAACACTGCAACTATAACATAAAGTAAGAAACAAAATTAAGAACTAGCAGATACTTTGCAATCTTTTCTCTATTAAAAAAGAATTAGGGGGGCAGCCCGAGTGGCTCGGTGGTTTAGCGCCGCCTTCAGCTCAGGGCCTGATTCTGGAGACCAGGGATTGGGTCCCATGTCGGGCTCCCTGCAGGGAGCCTGATTCTCTCTCTGCCTGTGTCTCTGCCTCTCTCTCTCCCTGTGTCTTTCATGAAAAAATAAAATCTTAAAAAAAAAAAAAAGGAACCAAAAGATTAACCCCCCTCCAAAATGCATAAATGTATTTTTCTTTCTTTCTTTCTTTCTTTCTTTCTTTCTTTCTTTCTTTCTTTCTTTCTTTCTTTCTTTCTTTTTTTTTTGTATTTTTCTTTCTTTACATGTTTATCTACTTCCCATCTTACCCTGCAGAGGATTTGAGAAGCTGCATGGCTGTAAGAGATGGGTACATGGAATAATTTACACAAAGGGGCAATTTTAAAATAAGTTACTATATTTTGCATATGTGAAAGCTACAGTCGGGTTCAACAGGGATGAAGAGAGAGAAGTTCACTTTCTGGGGGAGCTTCCCGCTCGCTCTGTGTTCTGTCATCTGAAAGTGCACCTGTTAACGCAGGTAAGAGTGTTTAATCCAGTGCCCTGCTGACAGGCCACCCAAATACGTGCCACTCGCTCAGCAACTCGACTCATCGTGGCCACGGGAGGGCCCACCCACACCGGCAACCAAGTGGGTGGGTGGTTAAGGCGCCTTAACCCCTCCACCCCGTCCTCACCGGCCCCTCAGGGGCAGCCTCTGGCCCAGGACAGCAGCGACTGAGCCCCAGAAGCAAACGACATGTCAGGCCCAGACATGTCAGGCCCAGCAACTGCCGAGTGTCAGCTGTATTTGTTGAGTCAATCATGCCAGGATATAGACCAAGATAAACAGGATCTGACGTGGAACTCCACTGATGCAAAGTCACAAACACAACACGGATACTGTGCACGACTGGAACCTGGGACCTCCTCGAGCCTCTCCACGGCCACAGGCGCAAAGTGGGTTAAAGGACAGGGACCCGGGGCCAGATGTAATCAGACAAAACTTCTGTTTGATTAACAGGTTCAACTTTTTCCACACTAAACTTTGAGCTCTGCACTGTGGGCGGCCAAAATGACTGTTTGAAAAACATGCCAACAGAAGGCAATTTTGAAATCTGAGATTAACGTTGCATATTCCCACAGGCCCTGCTTGAACTACAGTCCCGCCAAACACCAGACAGCGACCTTCACTCTTAATCAACATCCCATGTAGGAGCACCTGGGGGGCTTGGCGGTGCAGCATCTGCCTTCGGCCCAGGGTGTGACCCCGGGGTCCTGGGATCGAGTCCCACTCGGGCTCCCCGCAGGGAGCCTGCTTCTCCCTCTGCCTGTGTCTCTGCCTCTCTGTCTCTCTCTCATGAATAAATAGAATTAAAAAAAAAAATCCCATGTAGCAAGCAAGACCTGCGTGGCCCCTCGGGCCCCTTACCACATTCTGCCGTGATGGAGGCCAGCCCTCCATACACAAAGGGCTTCCAGTTGAGGGCTGACATCTTCACCACCGTCTCGTCTCCTTTGACCAGAGAAACATAGCCTCCAATAGGGTTTTCCCTGGACACAGAAGGAAGACATCTCAAAGTTATAACTTCGAGGACAAAGCAGTTTGTTTCTTCTTTAAACTTGGGTTCCATTTGGAGAATGCCAGGAGATGCTACCCATGAACCCCCCCCATCCCTCCCACAATTCCCCAGGGGAGCCTCACCTTAATAAAGCAAAGCCAGGTTATTTACTAAACCTCGCTTTATCAGTTGCTTTAAATCTCATTCAGGAATACAACACGCTGGTCCGGTAATACAGTGAGTGGACAGAGGCCACTTTCTGGGTAGTCTATTTGATCTGAAATCCATTCATTTTCATCCAACAAATGGTTGCCATTTGTTTGCTACCGTCTGAGCGAGTCCCTTGGGTGCACTAGAGCAAACAAATGTTGCAACCCAGTGTCCTCAGGTAAACTGACAATTATTTAAAAGTGCCAAAATGCACTTCTAGTTCATATTCTATAAATCTTCATTTCCTTTTCTCATCCACGTTGCGTTAATAGCTGGGAGGTAGCTTGGCACTAGGAAAGAGGTGGACTCTGGGGTCAGTGCCACACCACATCCTTCCTGGGGAAGTTCCTATCAACCTCTAGGCTTTTTCTTGGACAACATCATCACCATTGAAGCAACCAACACAACCAATTAGTGGCGGAGCCCATACTTTAATTGGTTATGCTAAATAAAATGCCTACCTTTTACTCCTATCGTGGGAATTAAATATATCCTTTTAAACTAGCACAAAAAAGACACTCAACAAATACTGCCTTTCATCTTCCTTTCACTTAAAAGGTGCTCGCAGGCTGCGACAGGTATTTGCACACTTCCATGCCAGGTCCCCCACATTCATTACCCATTCTGAATTTTATGCACTTTCACTTAGTGAAACCTGGCCTCGTGTCCATTAACAGGAGAAACATGCAAATAACACACTGTTGCGTATATATCAGCCATAATTATTGTTGGTTTAAAATAAAATTTCTAATTTATTATAGTCATAATTGGTGAACAATATACCCAGGGTCTTTACTCTGCACGTTTTCAGAGTTTCCCAAGGCTACGTTTTTCAAGAAAGAGTCACTATTGCCGAAAATGTCGGTTTGCAGCAAAACCAAGGGGCTTGCTTAAACTAAGAAAAAACACAAGGAACCCAGAGGAGACCCTAAACAGACCTATTTGTTCTCATTTACAGACATTAACCGAATTCAGACTGGTTCCAGGTGAGTGGGATAAAGGGCTTCATTAATAATAAATCCAATAATTCATTAACGGTCCACAAGTACCTTCCTTAATCCACTCTTGGATTCTGCTATTCAAGTTAAAAAAAAAAAAACCCAAGCAATAATTACGGAACAGTGACATGTGGAAGTACTGTAATTTGCCATTAGAAAAGTGTGTGATGGAAGTGATTTCAGTGGATCTCTCAATACCTTTGGGACGGGACAGAAAAATAGGCTAGGAAATCGGGTCTCGGCAAGTGCCTTGCTCACGGCCACACAGCTGATGGGGCAGCTGGGCCTCCAACCCGAGTGTTCGGATTCCAAGTACAGTGTCCTTTCTGCTACCATCTGAGGCTGTAAAGGAGTGATGGGGTTTTAATTAAGGAGAAAATATTACCAAGCAGCTTCGAAAAGGCACCGCTTACACAGTACATCTTATAGATGCATTTTATAAACAATAAAAATGTGCTTAATTTAAGAGAAAAGTCTTAAGAGAGGATATGCAGAAGGTAGAGACAGTCCTTCTAAATAGCAGTAATTTATTTTTCCAATACACAGCATACGGAGAGTGTGTTCGAGTAAACTCCTGGAGTTTTTCCCGACGGTGAAATTCACATACTATAAAATAAACCATTCTAGTGAACACTTCAGTGGCAGTTCATACACTCAGGATGTGGGATGACCACCACTTCTATCTAGTTTCAAAATATTTCATCACCAGGAAAGGAAACCAGTTCCCAGTTGTTTCCCATTCTCCTCTCCCTATGGCTTCCATACGGTTCGGTTCGTATTTCCTTGGCCGTGATCCTGTCTACGCATTAGGCATGGGTGTGGCGCAGGACTCCGTAGTGGTTCCTAACCAGACTACAGAGCTCCTTGAACTAAGAGGCATTAAGGCCCCACATACGGAATGAGGTTCTCCGGGACCCCCCAAGCATGTGTGTTGTTACTGGAAAACCAGTGAGTTAAATATGTGGCGGCCAATTCACAACTTCAAATACTTTCCACTTAAATTCCCATTTTAAGTGGTTAATTCCCGGTGATGATGTTACAGTTGATGCTTCCATTTAGTAGCGATTTTTTTTAATGTAGGATTTTTTAAGATTTTTAAAATTTATCTATTCATTCATGAAACACAGAGAGAGAGAAAGAGAGAGGCAGAGACACAGGCAGAGGGAGAAGCAGGCTCCCTGCAGGGAGCCCGACGTGGGACTCGATCTCGGGTCTCCAGGATCGCACCCTGGGCCAAAGGCGGGCACTAAACCGCTGAGCCACCTGGGATCCCCGGGATTTTTTTTTTCCACACATACATATGTGTGTGTCTGTATAGGGAAAAATATAAATGCGTCTACATATGTAAAGACACACACACAAGCTATCCTCCAAAATGCCAGCAAAACTTTACGGGAAATGAAATCGTAACTGACCTCTAATTTAAAAATAAAACAAAATATTTTTTAGGACTATTTCATATGGCTTCATGCCATCTCACTGATTAACTTTCTGGTTTCCTGCCATACTTATTTTACTAGCTTGGTTTTAATGGCTACTTTTGGCTACTTTGTCCTTTTTAAAATATTTTATTTATTTATTTGAGAGAGGGGGGAGGAGGGACAGAGGGAAGAGAAGGAGCAGGCTCCCCAACAGGCAGACGCCACCCCCTAACAAGACCCTGAGATCATGACGTGAGCCCAAGGCAGATGCTTAACCAACTGAGCCACCAGGCAGCCCAGTCTTCTCATGCCTTCTGTCAGTTTTGACACTAAGTTTTCGGTTAGATCAAACCCCGAAGGCTCTGGGTTAGACTCAAATGCAAACAAACACTCAACCAGAGCTCAAAACTGTTGTGGAATTGCCCCCCCCCCCCAGGTGGAGGGAGCACACACCCGTTTGCTCCTATTTAGGTGTCCCACCACCATAAACTTCTCTTGCACACGAGTGTCCATTCCTGTAACCCGGTTAAACTGTAAGAAAGCGCTCTCTATTCGATCACCTTTGGGCTCGTCTCCCTTCTCCCATCACTAGGGCTAGATTACTGAGCAGCGAAGACTACCGCCCGCATTCCCAGGTTTCTGTTTGCTGTGTCAAAGGAGGAGCCCTTTAGCTTAGAAAACCACCAGGGAGTATCAGTAGCTGGTCTAACGTCCAAACAAAGAAAAGGTTCTAGCTAAGACTGGAATGGGAGACATTCCGCCCAGTAAGCTGAGACCGGGCTCCAGATATCTCAAGCTGAAATCTCTGGTCAGTAAACGGAACCATTTCTTTGCTTTAGAGCTCTCTTTGGAGGGGGTTTCCCCCCTCACACGTGTTGCTTTACTTCCTAGCACAATTTTTTTTGGGGGGGCGGAATCCCAACTCTACTCAAGTCCCCAAACGGACAGGCCAACGCAGTCGGGGGACTGGTGTCCTAGGCAATCACTAGTGTGTGGATGACCTCTCAGCCTGAGGCCTAAGGATTCCAACTTTGCAAAAACTCCAGTGTCAGGCACAGCAGTGCTTATGGCTCACTTCCCACTTTGCACTCCTCCCTCGGCCATACCCTCTAGCCAACCTACAGCCGGTGACCACTCCTCTGCCGCATTATAAGACACGAAGCTAAGAACAGCCATCACTATTGAATATCTTGCATCTTACGTGTCGGGGACTGCTATACATTTTCTACATAAGAGATCTTATTTAATCCTTACAACCCTATTAAGTAGGTACCATTAGCCGCATTTCACAATTGAGGAAAGACAGCCTCGGAGAGGAAAAAGTGACTTTCCCTAGTCACACAGCTACAAAGCGGGCAAACTAAGGTCTCCCTAAAGGGGCAAAGGGCCTTTCCCCTGTGGACTACAAAGACAGAGGCTGTGAAAATATGTAAGCACATGGGAGTGGACGACATTCTGCACGTTTGGAATAAATGTAGGATTTTCCTGCAAAGGAAATAGAAACTTTCCACCTATGTGTGTGTGTTTCCTGAGTGGAAAGGTCTCCACGAATTAAGGATTCTCCCTTAGGATACGTACTAAGTTAGCATCCTCCCTCCCACGTGGACTTAGTCCTGACTTACTCCTCACCCCGTCTGCACAGCCGCAAAGGGAGGTAAAACTACAGTTGCAGTACAGTACTTGCTTCTGGAACCTGTGAAAGCCTTCCAAGTTTCCCTTATACAATTAATTCTGGATAAGCTCTTCCCAACTAACGTGTGCCTGTTTCTCGGCCTGCAGTCTTAAGCCGGAATCCCAGTGTCTAAACCTCTGTGCCCTCTTACGTCTCTGTTCCCTGCTCGCCTCCCTTCACAGACTCGCCCTCGGTCCCATTCTCTTTACAGGCACATCCTGGAAAACAGGCTCATCACAGTCTCAGGATGCACGCGATTTAAAAGGAATCTTGGAGAAGTCCCGGCTCACTTCATAGGGACTGACCGAGCCCCACGATCGCAAAACTCGGCAGAAGGCAGAGCCAAGGCCCGCGTTCGTGCGCCTCAACTTTTTTCACCACCTGAGGAAGACGAATGCAGACCCGCAGGGCCGACCCGGCGCCGGCCGCTCCCCACGCGGGCCAAGCTGGGGTGTCCCGGGAGCAGGTCGGGGCGCGGGGTGCCCTCTCCGAGTGGGGGCCCCGCGGGCGCCGGCTGCAGCCTGAGCCAGAGGGGTGCAGGCGCAGGGGCGACAGCCCGGGGGCCGGGGGCACGCGCCGGGGGCACGCGGGGCTCCCCGGGGCCTGCGACGCCGGGACGGCAGTCAGCCCGCGCCGCCCAGTGGCGAGGCCCGGGAGCCGGGCTCTGCCCGCGACCCCGGGGCGCAGCCGCAGCCGCAGCCCCCGAGCACGCCCCGCCGCGCCGCGCCCGCCGCAGTCCCAGCCCCGCGCCGAGGCCGACCGGCGGAGGGCGACCCGGGGCAGGCACGGAGTGGCCCGCGCGGCTCGACACTTACCGGCGGCGGCGGCCCCCGAGGCCTCCCCGCGGCGCCCAGCGGAGCGCGGAGCCCGCCGACCTGCAGCCGAGAAAATGCTGCGGAGCCGCGGGGGCGGCCCGAGAGCCGGCGCGCGGCCACGCCCACCACGCGCGGCCACGCCCTCCGCCTCGGCTTCTATTGGCCGCTCCGGCGCGCGGCCCCGCCCACCCCGCGCGGCCCCCCTCCCCCTCCCTCCGCCTCGGCTCCCATTGGCCGCCCCGGCGCGCGGCCCCGCCCACCAGCTGCCGGTGACTGGCAGGCGGCCGAGGGCCCCGGGCCCGGAGTCGCAGGCTCGCCGCCCTCCCCCCCGGGTGCGAGCCGTGGGAACCCGCCGACCCCTCTCGCCGCCGCGGGTCCCGACTCTGCTGCGAAAAGAGAAACTTTCGACAACGCACCGAGGGCCGCGGGACGGGAGGCTTCTCTGGGTGCTGGTTCTCTGCGTCCGCGTGAACCTCTGCAGAGGAAGGAAACTCGCACTTCTTTTTTTTTTTTTTAAACCCAGCCTTTTAGTTTGCAAATTTACGAACCCGCTGAAGAGTTGCAAGCATAGGAACGCTGTGAACGCTACACCCTCCGCCCAGGGCTCCCGTTTCACAGTTGCTATATTTGCTGTTACTAAAGAAGTCCCCCCACCTCCACCCTCCACCTTTGGAAAGTTGCACACAGCGCTGCAGCCTCACCCCTACCTACCTCGCCATTATCACCTGCAAGAAATTCCATGCCATTGGTCACAGCATTCAACATTCTGTCTATATTTAAGTCTCCTTTGTTGTCCCGAAATGCCATCCACCTGCACACGTGCGCACACACGTTGTGAAAATTCAGGATCTACCCACATCGTCCTGGTTAACATCAAGCCTCTAGAAACTCCTTTTGTCTACTAGTTGCCTCCACTTTTTGCAAAATCTTTCATAACTTTGACACATTTGGAAAGCCCAGGACAACTGTCTCGTAGTCGGCATCAATTTGGATTTATGGAAGTGTTTCCTTATGATCAGATTCGGGTTAAACGTGTTAGTAAGAAAGTAGCAGGTGATGCTATTTCCATGAGAAGGCGCAGTGTTCCTTTGTCCCGGCAGCCGTGGTGCCGATCTGGATGACTTGGTCAGGGCACCGGTTGGCAGATCTCTCTCACAAAGGTATTGTCAGAAGCCCGGAAATGACAGAAGTATAAAACCAATGAATCTCCAAGCTGGTAATCAGTAAAAGTGTACTGTGCCCGCATCGGAAGGATGGTTTGCAAACTGAGGGCACCCAACCCAAAACATAGAACAAGGCGCAGGAGTGTGTGATAAATCAGCTCACAGAGCCAGGAAGCATTGACTGCTCTTCACAGCAATTGGCTATAATGTTTAGGATTCTCTTAAATGACAGGAAACTGGTCAGTGGTTACCTCATATCAACCTTAAGAAACAGTCCAAGCCTTGCTTAGGATGGCCAGAAGCCTACGCAAGAAATTGCCCAGGTCAGGTTAGCCCTGCAGATGAAGCTCTGTATGATTAAACTGGTTTTTGTCTGATTAGAGAAATTTCAAGGCTGGTCTCCATTTCTTTTCTATTTTAACTGTACCTCTCTCCCACTGCAGCGGAGACTCTCCGCAGTGACAGGCTGGACGGGTGAATATTTTTGCCCAAGGGGTATCACACTGATGAACGCTCATCAAATTGGTTATACAGTGGTGATTTTCTGATGCTTTTCTAATTCCTTCTACATGTCTAAAGAAGAGTACTCCTCTTTTTTCCCCC